TAGATTAAGATCGTGTAAAGTAAATGTATGCAACTGTCCACTTTTGTTTGCAACATTTCTTGAAAGCTGCTAGTTTACGTGAAAAGGAAGTTTACATGTATGCATGTTTGTATGCATGGATGTTTACATCGCCAGTAAAATTCAGAATTTTTTGGTGTGTATAGCGTTGTTTTCAGATTTTGAAGACTGTTTCATTAATTTCTGAAAAAAAAACTTTAGCTAACTTGCGGGAACAGTTTAAGAAAAGTTCCGTAAACATCAGAGCAATTTCGAAAACTTGAGGAGCTTCAGCAAAGATCAGAAAACTTCAAGGCATTTCTGTCAGTTTCATGAAACTACACGCAAACCAAAAATCTATTACAATGAATGTTAGTTCCATTTCCTATCATCCTCTGTTCATGAAAATCGCAGCGAATGTTAGAAGTTGACCTTACAGGCGATGTAATGGTTTTTTGCCTTTTTTATTTCGTGTTCTGTCTGTGCTTTCACCTACACAAGCAAGCATTTGCCTTGATTTTTATGTATAACATGGTAGAACGACGCACACCCTTGCCGCGAATCTCTCCAGCAGAAAAAGCATACGAAGTTTGCTTTTAGGCTATCGTTATTCAGAGGCATGGAGAGAGCAGTGGAGAAAGCACAGGTCTGATAACCGCAATGTTCGTTTTTCGAGTCCAGTCGGCAACCTTTTTCCTATTTTTTTTTCGACATAATTAATTAACCTCACTAATACACTCTACATTTTTCGGTCTCCAATTTTCTTGCATTGGACCGCAGCTAGGTATATCACATCCTCGGTTCATGCGGTCTCCACTTACGTCCTCTGATGATGAATCCCACATAATTGTAAGCGAATCTTACATCCACCGGTTGGATATATAAAAACCATTTAGACAATCCGAGATCTTCGGGGTAGTTCAGAAAAATCCTGGAAAGTTTAGAAAAATTAAGGGCAATTTCATTAACATGAGAGAAGTTTAGAGTACCTTGGGGGAAGGATAGCTTTAAAGCAGTTACATTGATGTCAAGAAGTTGCAAGAAGTTCTGAGGAACTATGAAAAATCCCAATAAGATGTTCCGATAAGTGGGTAATTCCTGAATAACTACGGGAACGTCAGAGAAGATTCACAGATATTAGGAAAATCACGTCAACTTAAGAGAAGTTCGGAGAACATTTAGTAAATTTTGGAAACTTCCGGAAAATCCAAAACAGTTTAAAAAATGGAGATTTCAAGGAAAATTCCGTTAGTATATTTCAGGGAAGATCAAAAAACTCCAATAAAGTTCCACTAACTTCAGGGAAATTGGGAAAATTTTTATATTCTGTTGAATTCAGGGGAGTCTAGGGGATTTCTGAAAGTCCAGAGAATTTCTGGGAAGCTCAGAGAACTTCAGAAAATTCTCACCAATTGACTTGTGATTTGATTTGTCGCATAAGGGTTTTGGACGAATCTGGACACGTCAAACAACCTTGTCAGGATAGAACACTGGTTGAGAGTATGGCTTATTATGGTTAGGATCTGGATTCAAATCAAGCTTACGAAAGTTTTTTATTTCTCAAAAATCGATAGCCTACAAAACGAATTTATTGGATTGTATGAATAACTCCCTTCACTGTAAATATTTTTAAGTTTTATGGCGATTTGATTATAAACAAACTATTTCATCGTCTATAAGAGGGAACTAAATTGTGCATGTATTCATACGTCATGTTTTTTTTTATTTCAGTTAACAACTTTTCAGACAATATTAATTTTTTTATGAGAAAGTCGATTGACAATTGTTGTGCATTGAAGAACGCTTGCGCAAAAAGTCTAGAGAGGGAAATGGATTCGAAACTCAAATGTCATTAGTGTATACGTTTTCGATGCGCTATGTCAAACCCTATTGAATTTGTAAATTAACGGAAAGCCTACCGCCCGAAAAAGAATAAACCCGATTTTGTTTTTCTAAAAATATTGGAAAAGATATCACGATTCTAAAAAAAACTGTTGTTTTCTCCAATTAAAAAAAATTTTTTTTGGACGGCAAGATTCTCGTCAAAATTTAATGAGAAACGTGCGCCTAGTCCCTTTCAGCTAGCGTTTTAATCTTTTAAACTGTGATTGACAAGCCACAGCACTTGTCATCTTCGACGTCTACCGTATGCGTGAAAATGTTTGCACCATCGTACAAATAAGGTTCCCGTTTCACCTGTGCATACAATGTCTTGGTTTTCTTTGCATGCACGTAACCTATAGCTCATACCGTAGTAGGGTGTGTATAAAAGAAAATGATTTACTTAGTTTGACAGTTGCACCCTGACGAAGTGGCAGCGTATTCGTGATTTGTCCCACGCGCAAATGTCGCAAAAAGACATTTCAATCGCCGTGGGAGTGTCCCGGTGAACCGTCAAAAGGGTTTTAAACCAAGAAAAGAAAGGACAACTATCCGTGAAGGTGGCCACAGGTCGTCCGAGGTCAGCTCGTGTTCCGAGGGTTATCGCTGCTATCAAAAGGAAGATTCGGGTGAATCCAGTGCGTTCAATAAGGAAAATGGCAAAGGAACACGGGATCAGTGACTTTACGACACGGAAGATCGTAAAGGAAGATTGCTTGGCGAAGTCGATGGCACGGAAAAAAAACTCACATGATTACCAACCGCATCCGGGAGCTACGAGTTGCTAGCGTTATGGTGTTTGGATTGGTGGCTTCCGATGGCAACAAAATTGACCCTGTGTTCATTCCAGAAGGCGACAAGGTCAACACGGAGGTCTACATCGGGATTTTAAGTAAGTATCAAAGAACAGTACGGTCCGAAGCCAGTACCAATCTTAATCCGCTGGATTACTCAATATGGCGCGTTATGAAAGCCAAGGCCTGTTCTAAACGCCACCCGAGTACAGCAAGCCTCAGACAAACATTGACCCGTACCTGGAGAGAAATGACCCGTACCAGCAAGTGGAAACTCGATCGATGCATAACATAGTTTAAGACTCTGAGAAACATCCCCCCTTTAAATAAATAAAAAAAAAAACTCGAAAACGAAATTTTTGAGGATTTTTTAATTTTGACATTGCTCAATGGTGCAAACATTATCACGCATACGGTAGTGTATTGAAGTCTTTCGTTTTGATTTGCAACATTGCTGAAAATCCAGATCCGCATTAAAAATTTAAAACGAATTGCAACAGCACTCGCAAAGGCAAATCCAATAATTTTACCAAGAACCAAGTCCAATGGATACGACTCTTGGTTCAGGAAAGATTTTGATTGGTGGTCGTGAGATGTGCCCGTGGATAGAAAGAAGTTTGATAAAGATTTTGAAAATTTTGTGCAAAAGGATCGATCACGATGAGAGTAAATTGATTTAGAAGCAAGAAATGTTAGAAGGTTTTCCGTAGATTGATTCGCTAGAGTCTGATGATTAGAGTATCTAGATTCCAGATGAAGTAACATAATATTTTCGTAATCGCAGAAAGGTATACTTTTGGGTTGAATCCAATTTGGTCAACATTTTCTACTAAGAACTTAAAGTATCATCTTATCTCAAGCACAATTCCCCCACCGCCACCCGTTTTGGATGCCCGCCAAATTCCCCCGGTTGAAAACCACTATTCTAAACAATGAACGCATTGTTTTTAAAAAATCAAGAGACACGTCGTATTGATAGATTTTATTAAAGGGTTATACGGTCAAAATTTGGTCAATATCAACTTGACGTATTTCTTTCAATTTTGCATTTAAAAAACCTGAACACCCCTCATTTTGAAGGTGTGTGTGTGTAGAATGTTGCTCCTATTTTGATTTTGGAATTCACTCTTCAGTTGTCAAAATGCCGTCCAAGCAAGAAGAGCAGCGTATCAAAATTTTGCTCGCGCATCGCAAAAATCCGAGCTACTCGCACGCAAAGTTGGCAAAATCGCTAAAAGTTGCCAAATCAACCGTTACAAATGTAATTAAAGTGTTTGGGGAACGTTTGTCGACAGCCAGGAAGTCTGGATCGAGGGGAAATCGAAAACCGGAAGCCGCTGAGACGACAAAGAGAGTTGCCGGTAGTTTCAAGCGAAACCCTAACCTCTATCTCCGAGATGCCGCAAATAAGCTGGGTGTATCGTCTACAACCGTGCATCGAGCCAAAAAACGAGCCGGACTATCGACTTACAAGAAGGTAGTGACTCCAAATCGCGATGATAAACAAAATACGACGGCCAAAGCGCGATCCCGGAGGCTGTACACGACGATGCTGACGAAGTTTGACTGCGTGGTAATGGACGACGAAACCTACGTCAAAGCCGACTACAAGCAGCTTCCGGGACAGGAGTTTTATACGGCAAAAGGAAGGGGAAAGGTAGCAGATGTTTTCAAGCACATGAAACTGTCAAAGTTCGCAAAGAAATATCTGGTTTGGCAAGCCATCTGTATCTGTGGCTTGAAAAGCAGCATTTTCATAGCTTCCGGGACTGTCAACCAAGAAGTTTACGTGAAAGAGTGTTTGAATAAACGTCTGCTGCTTTTCCTGAAGAAACACGGCTGTTCCGTACTGTTTTGGCCGGATTTGGCATCTTGCCATTACGGTAAAAAGGCCATGGAGTGGTACGCCGCCAACAACGTGCAGGTGGTTCCCAAGGACAAGAACCCTCCCAACACGCCAGAGCTCCGCCCAATTGAGAAATACTGGGCTATTGTCAAGCGGAACCTAAAGAAGACCAAAAAAACTGCTAAGGGCGAGCAGCAGTTCAAGGCAAACTGGCTTTCTGCGGCGAAGAAGGTGGACAAGGTGGCTGTACAAAATCTGATGGCAGGGGTCAAGCGTAAGGCCCGGCAATTCGGATTTGGAAAAGCGGAAGCCTAACTGAATATTTTTCCTGAATTTTATACTAATTGAACTTGAAAAAGAAATTTAATTTGATTTTTTAAATAAACGATTTCACCGATTTACACGCGTTTTCCCTTGACCAAATTTTGACCGTATCACCCTTTAAATTCAATTTTGTTCGATATTAATGCCATTTTGAAATCTTCAGGTACACAGTTCTAGATTATTCATACGGATTGTGCCTGTTTGGTAGGGACATTTGCTTTTAAAAAGTTCAATGTGAACAAATCTGGGTAGAGCTGGAATTAGGGCGTAACAGCCTTTGAAAATGATGTCTTCTATCGATGATTTCAAGGAACTCAAGGCACGCCCACGCAAACCAATATAACCGTCGGGTAGAGGAAGTCTTGCCCTACCCAAAGGTGATGTTGATTTGCGAGCCTTAACTTTCTAGACATCAACGAAAGAAGTCATTGTTTACAAAAGCTGTTACGCCCTAATTCCAGCTCTATCTAGAAATGCTCCAAATGGAATCAAATGAAATGCTCGAAATCACAAATGATTTGCAACGCTAGGCTACCGCCCTTTCAAAATAATCACAGCTCTGCTCTTAGTCGAAACTAATCAGACTTCCTCGGACTTTCCTCACTGTGTTTTTAGGTCAACGGAACATTCAAAACCGTATGTTTTGTAATTTGTTTAATGAAACGATTTCGTTTAGCTTTATTTTTTAATGCCAGTTTCCATAAACATCAAAATTACCAAAATTATTTTAAGGATAAACTGAACACTTGCCAGAACACATTTTACACTGACATAACTAAGATTCACTATTCAAAATATCTAGGTGCTTTCTGTCGCCTCATTTTCTTCTGGTTGCTCGGTAACCGGAGCCGGTTCTCTTGGCTCATCCTGATCAGCATCATTGCTAGGCTCCGTCGGTTCTTCCTCCACAGCGGTTGTTCCTGCATCTGGCGCCCCATCCGCGACTGCTTGCTGTCCTGCCGGTGCGGTCGGAGGAGATAGTAGTAGTATAGCTTGCCCATTACGAAGATACTGAAGAGATGCAGATGGAACTGCCTGAACATGGACAGCGGTTACAGGTGGTTGAAAGACATGTGCCGGAGCTAGAGCATGATATGCTTTTCCTTCAACGGTACTCAGATGATAGTTTCCTCCATGTTGCTGAATATTGACCGCAGCTGGAGTATCCTTGTCCGGTGCTCGTACCCACCATGGTGCAAAGGGTATCCACGGGTAGATGGCTGCTTGACTAACGGCAACCAGTGCCGACGAGACGATCAAAATAACCCACGAACGCATCCTTTGGCACCAATATCACAAGCGAGAACAAAAGAACCGAAACGATACCGTCCGGAGTAAAAATTGAACAAGTATCGGACGAAGGAAATGCGTTCTATTTATAAGCCCCAAGCCATAGCCGCCGATCCAGAACCACTTCCAGATTCGTGAATAATATATTCCGCATAAGTGTAACTCATATTACAGACAACTACCGCAAAACTGCGCAAATGCGATACAATCGACCACAGATTTCGCACAGATGTTGCAGCTTTGATGTAAATTGTTAAATAGCAGTTTGTATCGATAACAAACCACAAATCTTCACATCAGCTCAAAACAAATGTTTAGCAGTTTTTAAATACAATCCAAACACTAGTCTCTATCAGGCGCAAAATTTCTCCTTGGAAGCCTAATTTATCACCCAAACAGCTGAGAAAGCTCCATCAAAACAGGAACATGCCGTCGACCAACCAACGAACGCCTCCGCTGCTGCGGTGGTGGTAGACAACCTTGCGTCATACCAACCGTTGTGGCGCATTTTCCCCATATCACCGGCAATTACTCTAGATTTGTATCATTTTTCATTCAACCGATTCTGTAAGTAAAGAAACTATGCCTATAGATATAGAACCCAGAAGCGGGATTCTACGGGAACCGGTTTCGCATTCTGATTTGTCACACAATCAATCCTAGACGACTGCATCAGTGCGCCTCCACGGAAGGTCGCTTTGTGGTGTCAGTCGGTCGTCCGAGCACTAGGTTAATAGAGCCAACTTGAATTATTATCTTCATATTACAAAACAACTCGTTAATCATATTTAAATAAATGAAAATAAAAATTTACGACATTGTAAAAGCCGCAATTGCGACAGTTACTCCGATAAGGAGAGATTGTAATTAGTAGGTTAGAAGCATTCGATGCACGGTAGTTGTCCGTCCATGTTGAGGAACAAACGCAAGTTTGTGTGAAGTTGGACCACGAAGTTATTTTTCACTGTACTTGCATTACTATAACATTTGTCATTATCATCATCATAATAGGTCCAATGACACAGCTCGCTGTTCTTTCAAAAATATATGTCAAACCCAGTGTTGATAATAGAAGAGTTACGCAGAGTGAAACTTGCAACACTGATGTCGATCAATGGAATTTTATTTTTTTTTAATTTTGGCAACCTTTGTTTGTGTTTACACCTCGGATGACCTGGGTTGTGAAAGTTTCCTCTAGTTTCGATAACAATACTTCCCACGCAAAATAGTCATTTTGTCTATTATGCTCGATAGGTAGACGGTTTGAGATGGGTAGATTTTGGTTTCAGTCTGCGTAACTCTTCTATTATCAACTCTGGTCAAACCTACCTCGACCGAATAGAATGAGATGTAGATTCGTTTGTTCTTGTTTTTTTTCTCTTGATTTGTGTTCCGCCGATGATGTTTTCCGTACTGAGCACATCCAAAAAAATATTCAAATCTAAATATAGTATAAAAGTTACGGTAAATCACAACTCTCCTGACTGACGCATAGCTCGGTATACAAGAGAGAATACGGACTTCGTTTATACATGGTATAGTATAATTTGGGATTATTGGTAGAATGTATAATTTTGGAATATTCGGGAGAATGTATTTGGTTGCTGTCAGTTCTTATCAGACATATTTTTCAATTTAATTTTATTAGCAAAGTCAAAAGCAGCACATTTTTTAACCGATTGCACCATAGTCGCGCATCGGCCTGAGGGGGGAATTATTTCCATTAGGGCATATGATTTTCTTCCAGTGGTTCCGTCGAAACAGGTTCGTATAGTTTCGTTTGTAGTGGTTCCTTTTACAATGGTTAAGGCAACTGACCGATGAAGTAAGCAATTGAAGAGTGCTTTCAACTCGGTTTTCAGATTGACCTGCTCTGGATTTAGAACTGGAATGAATAGGTGAAGGGGGCCTCATAGCCTAGTCATTAAAGGCACGGTATTACCAAGCCGGAGGCGGCGGGTTCGATTTCGGGTTGGAAATTTTCTAGACTTCCCTGGGCATAGAGTATCATTGTGCTTGCCACACAATATACAAATTCATGCATTGGTATTGGCATCGAAAGCTCTCAATTAATAACTGTGGAAATGCATTTAGAACACTTAGTTGAGAGCACGCAATAAGCTAATATGAGCTAAGCAATAAGCTTGAAATGCGAACAAGAAGAAGAAGATGATGAATAGGTGAATGATTGTATTTGTTTACGTTACCTACTGGTGCTACTAAGATTAATTTTCACAGATTTTTGTTCGGTGAAGTGCTGTTTCTTTAATTTATAAGTAGCTTATAAGAAGCCTTCAGTATCGCCTACAGTGTGGATATTTTAAATTTCCCAGGGGTTAAAATTGGGGTTAATTACACTATGGACTCCGTCGTTAAAAGCTTTATTTACTTACTTACCAGCCTTAATTGTTATGATATATATCTATTTTTTTTACATTGTTCCTGCCTCGGCAATTCAGTATTTTAAAAAAGTTTTTCTAAACCTGCATGTCAGTATAACAATTGAAATCTTTAAACTAAAAACTAAAACTAAATCTTATCTAAGCATAAAGGGAATTAATCGTTGCATTTGAAAATTGCAACGATTTTGGCCTAAAATTATTAATTATTTTGTTGGACATTTGTTCTAAAGTCTCAACATTCGAAATTCAGTCTAATACCTCGGTAGTACTGTACCAGGACTACTCCATAATCATATTCTCAATTATTTTATTCATGTGTTTCACTTATACATTTTTGCCAAAACATCAGCCTTATACATTCCATAAGACAAACCACATAGGTCCTATAAGAATGCATAAAAGGTATGTGTGACCGCTTATACATTTCATTTGACACATGATCTTCATTAACTTTTTGCAAGGCGTTTGCTTATTAGTTGACTTATACATTTTATCAATAATCAGCAATAGAAATTTGCCAAAAGGTATAAGGAGATTTCTATCCGTGTAAACTTTTCTGCAGTCTGCTGCAAATAACACGAAGACTTCGACAGTGAGCATTCATTAGGGCGTATACGCGATGATCGATTCTCTTCATCGAATTTCTCTTTGCATTGCTACAGCTAAGCGAAACAGTTTTCTAGAATTTGTTGAATGCAGTGTTTTTTTTTATCCATTTCGTTTATTTGGAAGGCTCAATCGCGTTAGCTTTACGGAGCCGATAATTCATTGTTCACTGTTTGTAACAAAATTCACTTAATTCTATGTCTAGTAGGAGTTGGGTCGATTACTCGCGGCTTACTCGAGGTTAGAGGGGTACATTGTTGAAGGATAGGATCAGGGGAGTAGCTTGGGGTAGGGTTTCGTTGTCTCATCAGAGCGTTGTCGCCAGTATGAATGGTAGTGCTGTTCTAGCATCGTCTGGAGTTCGACCGGCTATGGTGACCAGTGGGCGACGATGAGACTCATCGAGACGGGGGGACAAGACAAACAAAAACTAATAAAGAGAGACAAAAGACAAAAGGAATTAAATTCTTATACTAGACATTTGAAGAAAAACATAAACGGACTGCATATAGCAGAGATCACGGGTTGCCAACACGTCTCTGATAGGAACATAGGGTTGTCTTCCTTGGGCCTCGAGGGTATTCAAAAGTCGCTCTCTGGCGGCGTCATTATCCGTACATTGCCAAACTGCGTGTTCGATGTTATCGTAACCGTTTCCACACCGACAGATGTTGCTGTCCACGAGGTTTATTCTATTGAGATGAGCATCTAGCGAGTAGTGGTTGGACATAAGTCTACTCATCACCCGAATGAAGTCACGACTTAAGCCCAAGCCTTTAAACCACGCTCTCGAAGAAACATTAGGAATAATTGAATGTAACCACCGTCCAAGATTTCCAGTGTCCCAATCGGTTTGCCAACTCGAAAGGGTACTCTGACGCACTAAATGGTAAAATTCATCGTGTGAAATTTGCCTGTCATATAATTCGCCTTCCTGCGCGCTAATGCAGAGTTGTAACAGGTTGTATTAGCTATCAAAAGAAATAGTAAATGTACCGGGAAACGTTAAATCTAGCGAGTTATTAACAAAAGAGAAAATCGATGAAGAGAATCGATCATTGCGTATAGGCCCTTATGCATGCTCACTGTCGACTTCTTCCTTTAGTGGAAATGCCTGTGTCATCGGCGAACAAAGGTTTTTGGCACACAGCAAAAAAATAAATTTTAATATTACATCCAAGAGGATGCACTTCAATCATGTTGAATGTCTCATTTAATTTTTATGGCCACAATAATAAACAAATGCAGTAAATGCAGTGTAATGTCAGTTCATGCACTGTATTAATGATAATTTTGTCCTTTTTGCAAGTAATATTACAACATATCTTCGCCACGATTGAAGTGCATCCACTTTGATGTGATATTAAAATTAATTTTTGATGTGCAACCCTGAGGCAATTCAGGGAGGTACGAAGTGAAAATGTTATACAATAAAGGGTGTCCCACATCAAATTGCATCATGGAAAAAAAAAACGCTGTTGAAAATTACCCGTTAGGTATTTTCTCTGGAAAATTTGGGTAGAAGTAGCTTACACTGTATTTTTATCGCTGTCTGTTTTTCGAATTTGGAAAAAATGGCGTCATCCGAAAAGCAACGTCCCGAATTGATTTTGCGCAAGCACCTGGGAGATTCTCAACTCTCTCATCGGGACATCGGAAAACAACTCGGAATCGCGCAGAAGGCTCCAAATCGTGACGAACGGCAAAATACGGTGGGAAAGTCAAAAAAATCTACACAGAATATCCATGTTTAAAGGGAAATTTAAAGACCTTCTGGACAGTTCCACTAATTTCTGAACAAATCCAGGAACATAATCAGGAAAACATAAGGGAAGTTCCGTAAACTTCAGGAAACAATAGAGATCTTCAGGAGAGTCTGAGGAAGAAAATAAGTACTGTGAATTTCAGGAAGTTTCATAGGCAAACTGCGGGAACAAAAGGAAAGTTCCGCAAAATTTCTGAAAATTTTTGTGAACTTCAGGCAAACTTCAGGATTTTTAAAGCGGTTCCAAAAGCTTCAGGAAACTGCAGGAACT